TTCGCGGCGTGGCCAGGTGACTCTGCTGACGTTGGGCCTGTCGCTCTTCGTGGCCGGTGGCAATGTGAGTTCCGAAAATGCCGAAGGCTCCAGCTTCTATGGCGTCTTGGCCCTGGGATGGAGGTGTTTTTTTTTGTTGTCAAGATTTCAGATCTGGGGATATCTGGGGAACCAAATATCTATGGTCATTTTTTCCAGATCTGGGGAGCCTTTCGAACCACAATAGCTTGGAGAACTTTGAGTTCTAGTGGCCAACATTGTAGTCATCCGCATCCGCAAAACCCCAGGATTTTTCTGACTGCAGAGCCATCTTGTTGGCCATCTTGTTGGCCTGGCAGTTTCTGACGAAAGGTATCTGTTTGCTGATGGCCTTCCTGGTGTTCGACAGCTTCACCTCCAACTTCCAAGAGAAGTTGTTCAAAGAAGTTGCTGGGTTTGATCGGTTGGGTGGAGACGGTGGGGATTGGTTTCAAGGGCCAAAAAGCCATGGGGGATAAGACATTTTCGCAAAAACTGGGGGGTTCAATGGTGGATTAGGGCTATGACTATAGTCCAAACATTGGGGTTCAAACTTTTGTTCAGACAGTTTGAAGAGTGGGGGTTTGATGGTCACGAACTATGGGGGGAAAGGAATGGAAGGAATGGCAAGGAATGACCAGCAGTTTCTTCGATTTCCTGAACATCCCCGGGGGATGGCCGATGGCCAAGGATAACATGTCCAAGTACAACCAGATGCTCTATATGAACTTGAGCTCTGCGTTAGTCTCCACGCCGCTTGATTGATCTTGATTGCAGATGTGGACTGACCAAACTATCAGCGAAGAAATTCTGAAAGTCCGTGCAATCACCTCCAAACCTCTCTTGAGAAGGGAATGGTCAAGGAATGTTGATTGAGGCATTTGGATCTGGACAGTTATGTGGGCAACTGGTGTTAGATGGGTCTTGCTGCTTCAGACATTCCTGTTTCTATCTTGGACCATTTTCATCCATGTTAACCTCCATTTTCGTCAAAATTGTGCAGATTTTTCATTTCCAAGAATCTAAGAATCCAGGGATCACGGATAAAAGGATCACCTTTCTTGGCAATTCTTGGCATGATTGGCATCCATTTTTCCAAGCCTCCAACCAGATGCCTTTTGGTCTTCGGCGGCATGCTGCCCTACAGCTTGGCTTTCCTGGACCATCCCGGCTTCGCCAGCCACGTGCTGATGTCGCTCCGGCAGCGTAATCTGTTGGATCATCTTTGATGGAGGGTTGGAGCCAACTTTTTTGGAGGGTTGGACTCTTTGATGCTTAGACCATTTTTTTTGGAGGGTTAGAACCAACTGTTTCCAACTTGACTGTTGGACCATCTTCGAACCCATCCTTTCCCCCTTTTTTGGGGTCAAATCCATGGTATCTCCACCCCAGTGCCCCAGGTTGTCGCTCAGCGCCGCAGCTGGGCAGTACTACATCTTCTCCATGGTGCAGAGCTTCGGGGCTCTGGCGCTGGCGGCGGCCATGAATGCGCGGCAGGTGAGCACCATCTTCCTGTCCTATCTGAGACTTGGAAAACATGGGGGGAGTTGTGGGATAGATGATGCGAGTATATGGATGTATATGGTTCTAAGAGTTTTTGGCAACATGAAATGAAGTGTAGGTAATTACGTCTAAATTATGAGGTTTAGGTGTCGAATACGGTTTAATTCCAAGTTTCATGTGCAAACAATGCAATGAATAGCAATGACTTTGCCCAGGGCCAAATGATTCATTCAGTGGTAATGCCTGGAAGCCTGTTTTGGAGATACTAGCCAGCGTCAATCTGCAGCTGTAGCTCTCACTTAACGACGCTCTAGGTAGGTGCACGTAGATACCACCTGTTACAAGGATAGGCCCCTGCCAGCTGCTGCCGTGTACCAACAGGGGTTTCAATTCGTACTGTATCATTTGAGTAAAGCAGGACTGATCTAGCAATTCTGAAACCTACTTTCTGCTAGCCGGGGTGCAAACCTAAACCTCCAACTCCAAGCTGGTTCCACCACGGGGTGCTTCTGGCGAGGACGCAGACGCAGCCGCTGACGTGGATCCAGAGAATGGGGCTCTTCATCCTGTGTTTTTCGCTAATGATGAAGGCGTCCTGTAGCTTGGCCCAGGTCCGACCGGCTTTGGCAGAGTTTCCCAGCATTCACGTTGGCTGGTCAGTTCCGTGTTTCCTAAGTCCAACCTACTTGGGATGTCATCTGAAAATACCCCGAGTTATCAGATATTTCAACCCCACCTTCAGCTGGATTTGTTCCATTCCCCGCAGTGCTCCTTTACCGAAGCCCATTGAGGCAGCTTCATCTTGGAGCCCGACGTCAAGCAGCTCAGCGGCCAGGACCCGCCCAAGGAGGTGGAACTGGAAGATGCCGAGGAAGGGGAGCTCGAATCCTTGGTGCGCGGAGGCCGGGATGATGGGATGATGGGATTTGATGGGATTTTATGGTGATTTACCCTCTGGTGAACTAACATAGCAATGGAAAATGGCTATTTTTTGTGGATTTTCCCATGAAAAATGGTGATTTTCCATTGCTATGTTAGTTCCACCAGAGGGTAGGTGTTTTCATTTCTGGAACTTGTTGGGTTGTTTGAAGTTGTAGTGTCCTTCGTTGTTTAGATGATGGGACAGATGGGACAGTTGATTGGATGGCACAGGTGTTTTGGTTTTTGTCTGTCTCGGAGAAAAAACGTCGGAATGAAGGTGAAACACATCATTCGTTTATTTTGGATGGGGGGAAGGACTGCATGTGGTTTTGACTTCGGTTCACCATCCATGGTCACTCCAGCTGAGCAGTTCCACATCAAGGGCTGTAGGGCTTGCCGCAAGCTTCCAGGTTCCCAGTCCAAGATGGAACTGGCTCACGTACTGGGCGCCAAGAGTCGCCTGGAGAGCGAATTTTTCAGAGAATCCGCTCAACAACAAGTTTGATTCCAGTTGAATGGTACCATCTGGTTGTGACTAACATAGCCATGGTATAGATGGCCCATAGAAATAGATGGTTTACCTATTAATAGCATGGTGGATCTTTCCATGGCTATGTTAAATAACCAGATGGTAAATGGTAGCAGATTCCTAGAATGACCACATCAGCATCACCTCATTTTCCCAAGGTCTTTCTTGACACATTGTCTTCAACATCCATCTTCCACCAGCCGAGGTAGCGCGACGGAGGGATGACTGGAAACCCTGCAGTTTTTCAGCCGCAGTCCGACCTCCCACTGGGCCAAACGAGGCGATCTCCGACATCTTCGAGGGCCGAAATCTGCTGACCCCACCGATCTTCGAGGTTCGAGATGGTGAAGGAGAGATCCCAAAAGGAGAAGTGGCAGCGTGCCGCAGTGGGACCGGTGAATCGACTTTGGGTCGAGTGGAGAAGTATGAGAGTTCCTTCAGGTTTGTCTCCCAGGGTCCCAACCTGAAGCCCTGAAGCCATGGCAACTGGGTGGGCGGGAAACGAAGCCCACCAAGCGTTGATTCGTTTCACCTGATGGTGGCACCAAAAGGTGCTCGCTATGAGAGCATACCGCTGGCCTTGGCCGTGCGAACTTGGAAAAGTTCTGAGGGATGAACTGAGTGAATTTTCTGGATTGGTCATATGAGTCATATGCCCAACTTGGTTCTGGCTTTGAAAGCAGACAAGTCTTTGGAGGCTGTACTTACAAGCTGCAAGCTTGTGCTGACTCTGGGCATTTTGTGATTTAGGCCGACTCGACTCTAGGTGTTGCATGGTGTTGCCACTTCAAAGAGTTTGGAAGAACATTTTAGGAAGTTGGCCAAGCTGAATCTTTACGTCATACTCCATATGGGTATGGGTCAATACCTATAGATACATTTTTAGTGGGATGAACATCCATTTACCAGCTATTTTGGGGTTCACTAGGTACCAGGGTTTTGACCCATCCCCATATATTCCTGCTAGGGCTAGGAAGCCGGCAATCATGTGGCTATCGATCCCAACCAAACCCACGGCATTTTCCATCCCATGTCCTCCAGGGGGCTGTGGATCCGGCTGCTGCAGATCCCAGGTTCCACGAGACCTTCAAGCATTTCAGCGACATCGCGGAGGATCAGTTTGACTTCCACAATTATTGCCTGCGGAAAACCACGCTGAAGGCGCCCTGATGCTGAGGGATGGTGAGGGCTGGTTGGTCTGTGAGTTGGTGAGTTGGGTGGCATCTCTGGTCCGGGCTGTACTTCCGTCGTGTTTTTGGGGGACTGAAGAGACACTGACTGACATACACCGTGGTAAACCCAAGAATGAACTATCCCCAATATTACCATCAATGGGTTGTAAACCGCATCCCAAAATGTTCGGTTTATTCTCAAGCTCCGGTGGCTGTGCTAACAGCAGGCGTATGTGGCGATGTTGAGGATGCAAGAGAGGCAGCCGGGAGCTGTCAGGGAACTGGTCATGGGCGAAATCCTTCTTTCCGATGCTGATCCACGTGATTCATCCCTGTCGTTGTTGGTTTTGGATCTTTTTGTAAATTTCAATCCTGTTTGGTGGCATGACTCATGACAGTTTTCGTTGAGTGAACAGCAACAAATGACCAGCCCTTTCAGTATCAGCATGGTGTGTGAGATTTTGGGTCGTACCCCTTGTCGTATGGCTGGGTACCTAATCATCATTAAAGGCAAACTTGAAAGGACACCCTTGATCTTGTACTGATTATACCAATTAGATAGATCCATGGCATGGGGATGGCCCGGGTTCCATGGCGTTTCACCAGGCTCTACTCGCACAAATTCTACCGCCGCGCCGCCAAGGACAGGGTGGGAAGATGGTGATTTTTTTTTTCTGAATTTTCCATAGAAAATGGCTTTGTTTAAAGTTTGAGGTTGAGCAAATTCAGAAAGCTGAAACTGGTATGGGGCACTTTGCAGGGGAACGTGGACTATGATCTTTTGCTTTTTGCATGATCGACCAAGAAGATTCATCGTTGCAGCGACAAAATGGTTTCTGGATGGTCCTCGTATCTTCATCAAAATCCCATCCCATCCCTTTCACCGCACTGGACCTTGTACCTGGCGTCGTTTCGCAGGACGCAGTCAAGATCTATCTTGAACTCTACGTGGCTGCACCCAGCTGGGCGGTTGATGCCTTGAACTTGAAGCCGTGACCTGCAGGAAGGTAGGGAACTATAGGAGTCCAGCTTAGGATCACAATGGGAAACACCTGATTTGATCTTCGCTGAAAACCCCAGAGAGACTTGAAACTACACCAGCGATTGGAAGAACCATGGTAGCGGCCTTTGTAGTGACGAATGCTTCGCACGTAAAAACATGTCCATGGACAAGATTTTGACCATGGATCCAGTCATATTTTCTCCTGGAAAGGGGCCTGGAGCTACTCAAATGCCTCTTGGGTTGCCCTGTCCTCGGCTGTGCCGAGGACGCCAAAGTCGCTGGTGCCTTGACATTGACTTGGGCAGTTCTGCAACGAATCGGCGGGGGATTCATCCAGCTAACACAGCTGGATGGCTAGGAAATCTGCCAAGGGATCTAAGATTCATTCCGATCTATGTGCAAGCCCGAAAAGGTTCCTAAAAAATCCTGAAGATTACGACCATTTCCATCTGGAAGTCTTCAGTGAGACTATGTTGTTGTTCCAAATAGTTCCGGACTTGTCGCGTGGCAGGTGTGGATGGTCCGGATCTTAGATCGGAAGGTGGGGACGTATCCAAGCTTCCCATGGAAGATTTCATGGGTTTGCCCACTGGATTAAGATAGAGCTGAAGGCTTGAAGGTCACTTTTGAAACCCACCGGTTTTGCCGATCTAAATACGTGGCAAAACCATGCAACACGCTGGTGGATTGTGACTTCGCAGCACCCAATGCTTCGGCCCTGAATCCACCTGAGGTGTGGCCGGAGGCGGGTCCTCTACTGGGGACTTTGGGGGTGGAAGATGGCCAAAGGGATGCAGGGACCACCAGGATTTCGAAAAGGATTGAATTTCCCAAAATCCCTGGAGTTAGAAAAGGGGTTTGTCTCCAAGTTGGTCCCCATTTCCAAGCTCCATTTTGAGGTGAAAGAAACTCAACATGTTGTTTCAGACCCCCAACTTCGAGCATGATGCTGCAGGCGACAAGGCGGATGGATACCCCCAGGCTGCTGGTTCCAAGCTTAGTGAGTCAAAAAACGAAACGAGGGGCACGTCCAACGGGAACAGAGAAATCTCACCATTCAAACCTAGACCATGAAATATGATGGATGATCACAGCGGCCCCAAGCAGCTCAATCATTCACTAAAACATAATTTTCCAAACATTATGCCAATGAGGAGTGAGTTGATTATGAGATATTGAGACCTAGTCAAAATCTGGTTGACGGGTGAAATTCCCCAAGGTTGGGCAGGCGATGGGGCTGCAAAGACAGGTGCGGAAGGGGTTTTGGTCGCCTACAAGCTGGGATGGATGGAGGAAACTTGCGAATGTTTGATCACTTGCCGCCAACACGGCTGCCGATGCTCAGGCAATGAAGATGAGCTGAGTGCGGAGGAAAAGAAAAAGCTGAAGCATAAGAAAAAGAGAGAGGTGCCCCACAGATGGGATCCAGACAAAGGGAGCTATCGAATTAATGATTGAATGACATCCCGACCACTATCTGAAGTCTCTACATGTTCACCTATTTGAGAACCGACTCCAAGGGCCTTTAGTGGCTGCTCCGACACCGTGGTGAGGCACAAAAGCAAGAACAAAAAGCCACGTGCCTCTGGCTGGTTGACTGTTGAAGTGTGTCTGAAGATGGGGTATCACCCCAAAGCGTATTTTTATGGGAACCAATGAGCATTATAGAACAGTGGAATTGTGGGACACAGACAAACAGAAACCAGTATAAATGGACCTTTGTTTCCTGTTCGGCCGACCATGGAGCAGGAAACAACGGTTCTCAGCAAAACAATTAAAGAATGACAGATCGTTTCTCCAAAAGTTGTGCATCCGAAATTTTCCCAAATCAGGGTGTCCTTAGTGATCTGCTTTGTGGTAGGGTCAAAGACACATCACCTGGGGCCTTGGTGGTATCGCCAGGACGACGGCCCAGAATGCCACGGCCACCACGGGGAAGCCGAAGAAGGTGGATGATGATCCAGATGGTGAGAAACTCCTGCGGGGGAACACAGCGTGCCATGTGGCTTTGGGATATGTTGGGGCCACGGGGAAGTGGTGGAAACTTCTGTTGGTGAGTCGAAGTTCTGGAGTTCAACAATGATGATTGATGGTACAAGTGTTTCAAAAGTTGACATGTTTGACTTCATCTCTGAAATTGACAACTACTTCTGACCTTCCAATTTTCTTCGCCCTTTTGCCAAACCTGAGGCAACAAGACTTCATGGAGCAGGCCAGTAAAATTGTTTGGGAAGCCCAGAGAGCTCAGCTTTGACAAGTTGGGACGCAGAATTCTTCGAATTTTGGGCTTTTCGAACTTGCGCAGCACCACATGAGCCCACATCACTAAGCAAGTAAGCAAGCAAGCAAGCAAGTATAGGAAGACAGCAGGATGCCGAAGTGCTGCCAAAGGCACCTAAGCTGGAGTCACATCCAGGACATAGAACGTAGCCACACGGGCCACCATCATACTTCGGGAGCATCCGAATGGTTTGTGATGTTGCTGACGGGAGATGATTGATTTACAGCAGTATCTTTCACTTGGAAGTTGCACGGCTCACAGTCACCTCTTGATTTCCTCCTCCCAGCGGTCTCCACTCTGTGCAATGGGAAACCGGTTGATGCTACTACTGGTCTGGCTGTGTGGTGTGGCGAGTGAACCGTGCCTCGGCAGTTGAAACGTATTTAATCCCCAACTGGGTATAGTTGTATAACGACAAAATTCGTCTTTAACCCCCAACTGGGTATGGTTTAAAAGAACAAAATTGGATAAGGTTTTTTGGCTTTACCCGGTAACCCCCACTCCCAGATTGGCCAATTCCTCAGTAAGTGGGGCTGCCAGCCATCCAGATCTGACTCCAAATATCAGGGCTGTAGTTGGCATTGGGAAATGGTAAAGTGGTAAAGCCACTCTGGAATTCTGGCCAGGTTTGCAATGGATGCCACTCTTCATCGTCCCTTCTTTTGGAGATCTATCTGCATATCAATATCCAGCGTATCTATCTATCCGTCTATCTATCTAATCTAATCTAATCCATTCGAATCCAATCCGACTAATGTAATCCAAGCCAAAACTCAAACTAAATCTAAATCTAATCTGATCCAATGCAATCGAACATCAATCTAATCTAATCCAATCTTGCAAAATCTGTCTACTCACCAATTCTCAACCACACACTCAGCATGCTATGAAACACTTCGCCTGTCACTATTTGAGCTGCCCCGTAAGGTCGGTGTGTCCCGCCGGAGCTTTTTGCAAAGCGCAGAGCGGTGCGCCGGAGCCGTGCCCCGATGGCCATTTTTGTCCGCGCGGCAGCACCGAGCCTCACGCTTGCCCTGGGAAGCACTTCTGCTGCTTGTGATTTGGGGAAGAAGTGGTGAGCGGTGTTCGGGCGTTAACTTGAAATTGGCAGCTTCACGTGTGCAATATCCACATTTTTGTTATTGTACATCGCATCATCGGGCTCTAGAGGTTGGATGTTTTTTGGGGCGAACTTAAATGTTGGGGTCTGCAGTGAGTTTCTGCTTCTGGTTGGAATTTTAAGTTCGATCAAATCAACGAGCTGCTGGCTGGGAGATCACGGAGGTAGCTTGATTTCGGCAAGCAGAGAAACATCTGTCAACTTCCAACAAACTCGTGAAGGGATGATTGCCGGGCCGGATTCTATTCATTTGCCCTTCATTCATCCAAAACCTCCATATAGCATTCCTGATTCCGCGGTGGTTCTTTCTTGCAGGCCACATCCAAAATGATGGTTGATCACACATCTACCGAGCACTTGCCAAATCAGAGCGAACTTTCCTGGTAAAGCATTCCTAAAGATGTCGCCTGGCAACCTGTCGGCCCAGGTTCCAATCAAACCGCCACGCCGCAGAGATGCCCGGCGGGCTACTTCTGCCCGGCCAAGAGTGGCAAGCCGACGCTGTGTCCCCCGCACCACTACTGCCCTGAGCAGAGCTCCGAGCCCCGTGTTTGTCCGGAGGGATTTCGATCCTTGGCTGCCAAAGAATGGAAAATATCGGAAGGCGCAGTGCTTAGATCATAAGAATTTGGACTTGGATCATGCAAGTGTTGACTTCTGCCTCTCAACATGAGACGACCAGGAAGGCAAGACGAGCGGCACACTAATTCTGTTGGATAAGCAAACCGCACGATCACAAAAGGAAGGTTGTGAAGGAAACCTGATATCCGCACTTGGGAGTGCGGGCCATAAATGATAGAATTGAATGGGTATTATATTGGCATTTGTTAGTATTTGTATGTATTTGTTATATTTGTTTGTTTGGTCCACCAACCACGTGCTGCAGACTGAGGATGCGAGGGCCAGGACTTGCAGAAGGTGCTGCGCGGGTCGCTGGCCGAAGCCTTGCCGTGGTGGAAGCAGCTGACGGCCTCCACCGAGAAGTTTGCGCTCGCCGGGGGTTGGTTGCACAGCCTGGTCGTGGTGAAGGGTCAGTTGTGGGCATGGGGTCGGAATTACGAGGGGCAGCTGGGGCTCGGCAACACGGAGAAGCAGTGGCGCCCGGTCAAAGTACCCTCCAGCAAAAACTTTGTGGCCATTGCTGCTGGTGATGACCACAGCTTGGCTTTGTCGGAAGATGGCACATTGTGGACATGGGGATACAACAGCCATGGTCAGCTGGGGATTGGAAACAAAAACGACCAGCTGAACCCAGTCCAAGTGGCAGTTGGCAAGAAATTTGTGGCAATTGCTAATGGTGATTACCACAGTTTGGCTTTGTCTGAGGATGGCACCTTGTGGACATGGGGACATAATGAAGATGGTCAGCTGGGGATTGGAAACAGAAACGGCCAGCTGAACCCAGTCCAAGTGGCAGTTGGCAAGAAATTTGTGGCAATTGCTGCTGGTATTTACCACAGTTTGGCTTTGTCGGACGATGGCACATTGTGGACATGGGGATACAACAGCCATGGTCAGCTGGGGATTGGAAACACAAACAACCAGCTGAACCCAGTCCAAGTGGCAGTTGGAAAGAAATTTGTGGCAATTGCTAATGGTGATTACCACAGTTTGGCTTTGTCTGAGGATGGCACCTTGTGGACATGGGGACATAATGAAGATGGTCAGCTGGGGATTGGAAACAGAAACGGCCAGCTGAACCCAGTCCAAGTGGCAGTTGGCAAGAAATTTGTGGCAATTGCTGCTGGTATTTACCACAGTTTGGCTTTGTCGGACGATGGCACATTGTGGACATGGGGATACAACAGCCATGGTCAGCTGGGGATTGGAAACACAAACAACCAGCTGAACCCAGTCCAAGTGGCAGTTGGAAAGAAATTTGTGGCAATTGCTAATGGTGATTACCACAGTTTGGCTTTGTCTGAGGATGGCACCTTGTGGACATGGGGACATAATGAAGATGGTCAGCTGGGGATTGGAAACAGAAACGGCCAGCTGAACCCAGTCCAAGTGGCAGTTGGGGAGAGCCTTCATTTCCCCAACCAGTTTTTCTTTCCGGCTTGGTGTGATCCAGTTGCCTCAGCCTATCCATACGGTGCGTGCGATGTCTCTGCGGGGAGTGCTTTCCCCTGCAGCTCAGCATTTCTGAAGGCAAGGTCCTGCAGCGATTCCGATGGCTGCCAGCATCTTCGTGGGTGCGAAGGCAGCTGAACCTTGCGATGCTGGAACATTTTGTCCTTGCAGGCAAGGGCTGTGCCATTCACCTGTCCTGAGGACATTTTTGTGCCTTGGCATTTTTGATGGAAATTTCAAAACCAAAGCAGAAAAAGGTAGCTCAATTCATGATAGACTGACTGAGAGTTAGCGTCTTGAAAGGGAACCCCAATGATGCCCTTTGCAGCAAGTTTGTTTTGGCCCGGACTCCGGACCCAATTTGACAATCCAAATATCAACAGAATGAAACAGCGTTTGCAGTTTTTCGAGATTTTGATGTGCCCAGCCTTGCTCCAAGGCAAACACGCGCGCCGCCCGGCGGAGCCCTGCGCCGCCGGCTTCGTTTGCCCTGTCGGCACCTCCAACCGCACCACGAGCGCTGAGGAAGCCCCAGTGGCCGAAGAAGGCGCAGAACTGCCTGGTGCATTTTCTGATTTCTCATGGATTAAAGAACATGTTTGACACAGAGTGCTACTAAAGGATATCCTTGAATGTTTCATGTTCTATATATTCTATTTCAGAACCAATTGTTGGGGTCCCGTTTCCATCTTTTCGCTGGGAGGCTTGAATGTGTTGTGTCCTACGGAGCTGAGCGATTTGAAAGTAAAACACGCAGCATTAAAGAATCAATCTGCGGTTTTTGCTGCAGAATTGGATGATGTGAAGGCAAAGCTGGAGCAAACAACTGCAGCAAAAGTCCAGTTTGAACAGATATCCAAGGCAGAATTGGATGACGTCAAGGCAAAGCTGGAGCAAACCACTGCAGCAAAAGTCCAGTTTGAACAGATATCCAAGGCAGAATTGGATGACGTCAAGGCAAAGCTGGAGCAAACCACTGCAGCAAAAGCCCAGTTTGAAAAGACGTCCAAGGCCGAATTGGATGATATGAAGGCAAAGCTGGAGCAAACCACTGCAGCAAAAGTCCAGTTTGAACAGATATCCAAGGCAGAATTGGATGACGTCAAGGCAAAGCTGGAGCAAACAACTGCAGCAAGAGTCCAGTTTGAACAGATATCCAAGGCAGAATTGGATGACGTCAAGGCAAAGCTGGAGCAAACCACTGCAGCAAAAGTCCTGTTTGAACAGACATCCAAAACAGAATTGGATGAGGTCAAGGCAGCACAAGCGCAGCTTGAAGAGACATATAAGGCGGAATTGGATGCCGTCAAGGCAAAGCTACAAGAAACAACTGCAGCAAAAGCGCAGGTGGAACAGCAACCGGAACACTTCCAGGCAAAGTTTGAGCAAGCCTGGCCAGCAAGTCTTGCAACTGGACTTGCCGAGTGGTATGCATGCCTTCCTTTTGGAACTGGGATGCTGGTGGCAATCGCCCTTGTCAGTCACTTTGTGGAGATGATTGCAAAGCTTGTCAAGAACGACAGAGGAGAAGACAGATTTGGCTGCTACTTCTGCATCCTAAGTACGTACTGTAGTCTAGCCCGTACATAGGTGAAAGATCTCTTCTTCAGGAGGTGAAGAATGTCTTGCTAGTGGAATGGCCTTTGACCCAGCTACATCATGGACACCTTGCTGAGTTTAGAGAATTTGTGAGTTCGTCGGTTCCATTTCTTGCTGTGGAAGTGAGCACCTGGTAGGTCCATTGTGTTTCAACAGATGCGCTTCCGTTGCTTCAATCTGGAGGACATCCTGATTTCCCCGTCAAGATGGTGGTGGAAGATGATCGCAAGGTCATTGCTGTGCATTGCCCCGGGGTCACCATCCACGATATTCGCGTGGAGTATTACGATGGTGTCAGCAAAGGAGAGATAAAAATCGATCGCAAGGAAGCGCAGGGTGTTCCGTCGTTGCAGTGGGGATGGACATTCCACTTCGACTCGCACCATGAGTTTGTGCAGTCGGAAACAAGGCTGGGATTTCTCTTTTCTGCTTTTGCTCGTGCTGGTAGGTTTGAACGGAAAGCCGCCTTTGGTTCATTTCAACCTTGCCTTTTTGAAACTTGTTCACAGGACAGACGCAGTTTGAAAGGGCACTGAACTATAATACCTTCGGACAGGATCTTTGTCTTTTGTAACACTAGCTTTTGAAAGGGTTCTTGATTCTTGACAGTGATTCGAATGTCAAAATCACATGGTCACTGCTGGTGTTGAGGGTTGAAGTCCCACGCAGACAGTAGGTGTGAAGATGGCATCCTCCGCGTGAGTTTCAAGTCCGTCACACCGCAGCCACAGGCTGCGGGTCGCAGTGTTTGCCTCCTCCAGTGGTCTGGGGTTGTGGGTTGAAAATTGGGTACCGCCCAACTGGGATGAACGCCTTCAAATAGATTTCTGTTCTCAACAGCATGACCTATCTCCATGTTTGTCCCCTGACTTTCCGGAGAGGTGTTCCGCGTGCCGCAAGTCTTCCACATGGCCCTGGATGATGAGTCCGAGATGTCGGAAGGGAAGATTTCGAAGGCCGAGAAACATGAGGTCATGTCCGTCAAGAGCCTTGCACCTTGGCAGTTTCAGATTGCCGGGGACGATGGGCAGCCCATGTCAGGTAGAGATGAGGTTTATGTTTGCAACCTACAACTGCAGGTTGAATGGGTTGGTTTTCAAAATGAAACCGTCAGTTTTCATGAGTAGCAGAAACTGCATCAACATGCCATGTGCGAGCTGTTATCAGTTTAAGCATTTAAACTTTGAGCTTCTCAATGCTATGGTCATAGGATTACAGAGCCATGGCCCAAATTTTGGGCTTTTGAGTCTTGAGTTAGTTCGTTTAGCATTGCAGGGTGAAGCGTGATTCCACTTAAGTTTCGATTCATTTTGGTCGATCAACTTGGAGGTTTAGTCCAACAACGTCTTTTTTTTTGGGCCCCACTGGAAAGAAAAAGGTGACTTTTTTTCTTCCAAAATGAGATCATTATATCATTATATATTGTTCCAAAAAAAAACTGCCGATATACAGCCTTTTTGTTCTTTTATTTGGAAAGCTCACCTGCTGCGGCTTTGAGGCCGAGGAAGGAAACTCCATCGTCAGCTACCCCGGATCTTCCTGGGAGCGGTGCTCGGACTGAGGGCGCTGTGAAACCCAGCAACTGTCTTTGGCAGCGAGCAGGTGCAGTGTAGTCCTTTCAGTGATATCTGTCCAAAACTTGGGTGAAGAAACATGAAGCTCAGTGGGAAAACCCAATGTTTGCAAGAGGTTGCCAGATTTTTGTTTGGAAGGCTGCCTCAATTTTGTCAAAATGATGATATGCGTTTTTGATATCCTGCTATGCTGTTGTTGCTGTACCTGCACGCTGGCTTGGCATGTTCCCAAAAGGAACTATGTTCTCTTTAGCTTGCCTGGGCATTATGTGTAGCCTTTTCCAGTTCATTGCGAGACAGGGAGGGAATAATGAGCAGGAAACATAAGACTCACATCGAGAAACAAGATTGTATGTCGCATATTTAGTGTCCATCCACTTGCTTTGGATGTTCAGGGCTACAGCTGCAAATGCCGTGTGAAACCAGGCAATTGATTTAGCTTACAGTAGATGGTGCATGGCTTTGTACTAGTAGTACGTTGCCCTGGCCGGTCATTCCACGACACCAGCCGTGGTACAACAGGGCCAGCACACAGAGCTCTGCAGCGACAGCAAAACCGTCTTCCCCAATTGTGCCAGGGTCAACTGCATCGGCTTCGGTGTCATAGTTCTTGGCCCACTTTCCATTGGGGTTGTAGCGTCAATTTGAATCAATTTTGATATTGCTGGCTTTTACGCTTTTCCCTCGGTCAGATCACGTCAATCCAGTTGGTTCTTACCCTTGACATGCCTTGAATGATCCTGGCACAGCTGTCATGCTGGTGGAGTGGTGGAGGAGCTCCCAGAAGCGGAGCGAAACCAACAGAAAGAGCCTAGAGTGGTCGCAGATGAAAGATGTCTCGGAGCTCTCTGCAGCCTGCAATCGGACCTCTACTGAGACAATTTTCGGGGTGCCCAAGACTTGGGCATAATGTGGTAGAGCGGTAGAGCCATCAACTATCCTCAATCAAAATATCATAATTATAGGGTCTACCCCATGGCTCAGGTTCGCACCATGGTGACCTTCAGCGGCCTCGATTCGGCGACCCATGCCTGGAACCTAGCGGATCATTGGGGGCGGAGGTCTTCGCAAGGGAAACATCTACAGGGAACCACGGCTTTATCACGAAAGCTAGCGTCAGCTAGCTGGAGTCTTCTTGCTTTAGCAAGTATTCCGGGGGCTGCTCAAGGACATCACGTGATTTTTCACGCGAAAGGCCCCCCCCCACCACCATCATCAGCATCATCGTCATCATCGTCATCGTCATCGTTTTCGTCATCGTCATGGTCATTGGCATGATCTCATCGTCATCATCATCATCATCATCATCATCATCATCATCATCTCCTCATCCTTATCATCCTCATCATCATCATCATCATCCCGATCATCTGCCGCATCCGCTTCATCATCATCATCATCATCATCATCACCATCATCATCATCATCATCATCATCACCATCATCATCACCATCATCATCATCATCGTCATTGTCAGTGTCATTGTCAGTGTCATTGTCATTCAGTGTCATTGTCATTGTCATCGTCATCGTCATTGTCATCGTCACCGTCATTGTCATTTTCAGCCGTCATCGTCGTTGTCAGCGTCAGCGTCATTGTCATCGTCATCAACTTTGTTATCATCATCATCATCATCATCATCATCATCACCATCCTCATCATCATCGTCATCATCGGCATCAGGTTCGATCCCCCCTGGTCCCCCCCGAGCCTTCCCGAGAGGAGATTTCCGGCTGGTAGAGGGTCAGCATCCTCACTGAGGGTTTGACGCGGAAACGCCACCGACATTTCCCTGCTGACACTGAAGCTACGTCTTCCCTTCCTTCTTTCTCCTACCCCGCTAGCTTTCGTCATCCACCCCCGGCCTCAAGTGTGGTTTTACTATGTCTTTAATTGGGGTAAATGAGTTCAATGACTTTTTTTTGCTGATTAATCTAATTTTTGATTAATATCATCCAAAATCGTCCTGGTTTGCGCTTGGGTCACATCGAAAAAAAACACTGGCAGGATCTAACATGGGATGAGCAGGGATTTTGGAATTCGACACATTTTCAGAGGGGACCTTCAGTTTTATCTTCTGGGCACCACCATTTGTACCACCATTTGTTGTGTGGTCCCGAAGCATCTCCTTGTGGGTCAAAGCTGTGAGGTCATGACCTACGAAGTCTTCAGCCGCCAGAAGAAGGTGCTCCACTGCCTGCAGGCCTGGGACCCAATGGAAGATGTCTCAAAATATGATTCAGAAGAACTGATCCAATGTGGCCCAATAACAAATCATTTAACACTTCTGAAGTAAAGAACCCTTCAAGATTTTCCTTTTTCAGTTTATCATCCGTTTTTTTTTGATGTTTTACCAGTGTTCACCACCGTTTTTTACCAACACATTTGACCATTCCCTGCCCAAATCGCACAGGCGCTGAGACAGTTGTGGGAGCTGGGTGGAGAGGACAAGTTCTACTACAAGTTGGTGGCTCCGTTGCTGGGTCGAAAGGAATGGGGCTGCTGGCTCGTTTGTGATACCTGGCCCGTGTAAGAAAAATCCAGGCTGGGTGGTTGAAGACTTCGATATATATCTTTATTATTCTTTTTTCCCTTAAATATGTGTAAATGAACTGTTCATATTTCGATACCTAAAGTCTTTTGCTATGGGGATACGTACTAGTTGGTGTACTTAGGTGTCAGTTGGCTATGGCTCCGAAAATGGGGTACCAACATGCACCCAGAATTTATGGATCATTTTTGTATTTAACCATTCATTTTTTGTATGTATTTTTTAAAATCATTCCCGGTTCACCCTGGAATGACTTAATTAAGATTGTTATAGAGTGATACCTGTATACCCAGCAAAAGATTGCAACCAGCAAAATGCGGTCAGTTTGCCCCGCTATCCCCTGGTTGTCATCCATATCCCAAACTTGTACAGCCATATACCCGAACTTAGATCACAGGTGTTCCATTTCTTTTCGTTCTGCGGAAGGGTCGGTGAATTTTGTCGAAAAGCATCAACTGTCTTCTATCTGCTGAAACAAACCACTACTAACCCACGAAATCCCAGGTAAATCTCAGGCAGTGGTCATGGTCTGCCCACTCCCAGGCTGACGCACTTCTGCTTCGTCATGGACTTGGAGTTCGCATCTCAGATGAGTTTCTGGGGCGTCTGGAACTCCAAGCTTGGCATTAAAAAGTGCCTGCTTTCAAGGAGTTGGATTTTGGAAAATTCGAAATTCTGCTGCATACGTGTTGGAGAATGATGAACGATTGACAGAGAGAGGATGAAACTAGCCATTGAACAGTCTACGACCAAAAAGAGAGTCACTGCAATAAACTGGACACCGCAACCCCTGAAATTCTAGCTCCCCGGCCACCCTGGCAACTCAGGAAGGACGTGCCGGAGCAGATTTGCAAAGAAGTGGTTGGGGAAGCCCAGTGACAGACGCAGATGTGGGCGCCCACGTGCGCATTGGAGAAGAGACGACTTGGCTGAGGAGCTTCTAGTGGTACTTGTACCAGAAAGCTGAAAACAGACCGAACCCTCTATGTTCAGACCGCTTGTCAGCCAAATTGCAGAGATCTTTGCTCTTTCCAATTTGCTCTTTCCAAGTTAGACTATGACAAAACTTTTGCAGGAGGAGTTTGGCATTTTGTGAGACGCATTTCTTTGAACCCAGTGGATGACCCCGGTGACAGTTTTTCAAAGATGGCTGAATGGCCATTCCATGAATTTACTCTGGACTGGCTTCCTGCCGACTGTGCTTAGAACTCGACAGGAATGCTGGCGATAAAGGGTTTGGTACTTCTGAGGAAAAAGAGTCAACAGAGAAACAGACCAACAAAAATCAAAAAGGAAAACAACTATCAGATAACTGTCATCATGTTGGGAAAGCCTGCCATAAAGACCTACTGTACCATTTGGGATGAAAATCTCCCAGCCATGAAAATGGCTGGGGATCACCACAGCTGCAAGGTGCTCCCTGAGATCGCCGTGATCCTGGGCGGCGAAGGTGCAACCAGGGAACAGGGGTTGGTGGAGGAGATTTTTCCTCCAAACCATAATCTGAGGGGATATATGTCCTTTTTTCTTGTTAGAATGGATTTTGCCGCAATTTCACATGGATTGTTTGGGGAGATCATTTGCCAGAAGGGTGACTTGTCTGGCCAACAGCATGGACATGACTTGACCGAGGTGCCACACCTTTCACCTCGGTGGCGCAGATGAGAGAGGCCACTAATGGGACCAAGGAATACCAAGGACACCTCTGAAACCCATTTGAGTCTTCTAGAAATAGAATGGTCATAAGAAATTTAGAACCAGAATCCACACTTATAGAAATCATTTTGGTTTTCTACGTGGATTTTGATTCTTTGGTTTCCCACAAATGCAACATGCTCATGTTTGGTTCAGTCAATATTACTTTGAAGAGCACCGCACAATACTCAACAATTCTTCCTTCATCCTGATTGCTCAGTTGGATGCGTCAAAACTTATAGTAGTTGGGGGATCGACATCCAGCTATACCATTGACACCTAGTCAGTTTCCCCGGGTTTCATCCATGGCCAAGGCAGCTTCCAAGGTGGTCGACCAGGTGGAAGCGCGGATCAAGGCTGAGTGGCTGACTTGTGATTTGGGTCTGAAAATGGGGTTTGTTGCCATAGAAAATGGCCATTGGATAGGGAAAATTTTGATTAGCCAATGGATTAGAGGCACCCTATTTTCAGACAAACCCATTTATATACGGTGGAGACTTTGGGGATCTCTCAGCTTTTTCCAAGCGGATTTCCGCATCGAAAACCTCCAGGGAGCATCTGACATCTTCCTAGTGGAGGTGCTTTATGGTGCGGGGCCCAAGGACAACGCTGAACACGTGGCTTGTTTTGATGTCATATACTGATTCATGTACTGTAGTCATACCGTCCCATGCCTGTTTCCCATGCCTGTTAGATATATGTACAGATATACAGCTATACAGTACATCATAGTTGCAACAGATCCAGATGTGTGAATCAATCTGCCGCCAGATCTTACGACTAAAAACTGCTTGAGCCACTGCGCTTTGGCCAGGCCTGAAATGCCTGAAGGCCGCTGGAAGAGATAGAGCAGCACTGCTGGAGGCCGCAGTGCACCGGCGCCTTTTTTTGATTTATTTCTTGTGCTATGCATTTAACGAGCAAAACACGGGGATATGGTTGGCTCATCCGTCTGACCAGGAACATCTGGGAACAGTGACCAAGAATCGGATGTGAGCAACCAAGAATGGATGTTAGAAGTGATATTGTTGGGTATTGAATCAGCTGGGGTCAGACATCCCTTGGTTGGAGCACAGGACCGATGCCAGGATCTCTGCACGGAATGTAGAGGGTCAAATGAATGACAGTTTTATTGATAAACAATCTCATCAAACTCCCCATCTTATTGGTAAACTGCCCATTTCTCAAGAGATTGTTGATCAGTAAAACGGCGTCTTTGTTTGGGAAAATCTCCATTTCATTGCCATTCAATTCAATAGCTGGGCCAAATAGATATATCCGCTTTGAAATTATATATACAGCAGATATTGAAGAGTCCCCCCGCAAAAATAATACAAAGTCCGAAATCCCCACAAATATAGTCTGGTTGGTGGTTTCAAACATGGCTTTTATTTTCCATTTCATATTTTGGATAATCCTTCCCATTGACGAACTCATATTTTTCAAGATGGTTAAAACCACCATCCAGTAGTTCATTTACATTATTGAATCCCCCAAAAAAATCCATGCAGCTATGAACATTTTCCCAGTTTCTTCTGTCGACATCTCCGATCTTCCAGGCCTGGAAGCCTCAGGGCGTGCCTTGACCAAGCAGGATCCATGACGACCGGCCATTTCTTGGTGGTAGCACGAGAAATATGGAGAGTTTTTTTTTTAATGGTACGTTTTTTTTTTCTATGGCACGAAATCATTGATGCCTTTTCAGATTCATTGATTGCATCGGCGGTCTGCGGTTTGCATCAAGAGCGTTCGCGGATGCCTCAGGTGATGTGCCTGAAGGAGAGCAGGAAACTGCTCGCCTACCTGGAGAAAGAGTTCGGCAAGGCCTGGGGCTGGGGTTTCAGCCGCTTTTTCTGGTGGTTTTTGTGGTCTACAGTTAGTTGATTCCATATTTAAGACATTCAAAAACCATGGGTCTACTCTACAGTTATATAGTTGATTCCATATCAAAAACCCATGCTACAATCGAGGCGTACTACAATCAATGGATCTTCACGGGCCATATCCATTGGGTGTCACTGATATCTTCGCATAGTGGATGGGGGTTGAAGACCAAACATGATCATATGACATTCATCTAGTATCCCAGTATATCCCACCATATCCCACTGTATCCCATTATATCCCAATAGAATGGTTGCGGATATCCCCACGATATCCCCATCATCAGTGGTTGTAGACCCGCCATTTTCCGCCGGCCAAACGCTGACCACAGGACTCTCCGGCGTGGACCAAGTTGCAGAAGCGGTGCACGGAGTTTTTCCCCTTGATGGTCCTCTGGATGTTTACCGGGATCCCCTCCGGGTGGTGCCCAGTTCGTTAGCGATCAGTTGGTTGAAATAAGTCCAATAACTTGGGTTTATGGTAGATATATCAACCATGTATAGCTGATATATCTACCATAGGTTTATAAACCAGCTGATATATCTAACATCGATGTGGAAAATCTAATAATCTAATAGTTCTAGATGATTTTCATAGGGAAAACACATGGGTTTTCCAATGTTAGCTTCCCCTATGGTAACCAAGCACCCCCCGGGGAAGATTCACCAGAACTTGATGATACCCTCTGCTAATTTGGACAGAAATGCTTGCAATGTTGGTGGGCGCGATACGGCTTGGTTTTGGGGGCGTAGTAGGGATAGATATTGTTGGATGGCCAGTGCCGGCCATTTGGCCATTTGGGAGTGATCTGCACAAAGGACGCTGGAAGATTCAATGGCCATGTGATTCTTGTGCTTTTGACTGTGAGATTGGACAAATCCAAAGATAATCCACGACCACAGTTTTTTGGGCCCTGAAAATGGGCGATATATGGTCAAATGGCCATCAAATCACCAGGGAAAATGATGATCAACGATGAAATTTGACTGCCTCTGCACAGGTCATTTCCTGACGCGTCCCGGGGGTAAGTTTTGGAGACTTCTCCGCTGCGCCGCGGACGTAACACGAACAGTGGGCCCCCAAGGCCCAAACGCCAACACCACAGCCATTGGGACAACCCACACCACACCGACCTGCCCTCAGGGTATTGTTCCTGCCGTGGGGCACCACTTTAGAGTTCAGTGTCTCACAAGTTCTGACAAGCACAGCGCCAACTTCACGATTTTTGGACAGCAATCTTTACTGGCAAGCAGTGCGAGAATTTTTTTTGCACTGCAGTTTTAAATTGAACCTTTTTTGGTTATAGCGCAGTGCTTTTCAGGAGTATTTGCTCCATTCTGAGTCCCGCAGGAACGACAAAAAAGTGCGAACTCCGGAGTCCGGAGCCACCCCAAAATGGATGCGTTGGATTACATCACAACTTACTCTTCGATGGATTGCCTACTTAGAATGTATAGACATAGATGCCAATTCTGGGCCATGGTTCCCAGTCCAGAAAGACAACTGTTGAGATAATGAAAACCAAGTTGGATACCTACATTATATGTACAATATATATATTATATATATATACACATACATATTTATCATGAAAGGCCTGGTGGTCCTGCAAAATTCAACATCATTTCTTGCTCCAGGGAATTGGCCTCGACCCGACGCCGACAGGGCTCATTTTACAGGCAAGTTAGCAGTCGACGCTGGGACGCACGCACTCGTGGCAGAGCAGGAGCAGAAATCTGTGGTCAAGTGGTCCCTAAACCCTAAACCCAAAGCTCCGCTTCTTGGGATCGTGATTTGGTATGGTTACCATGGTTCAACTTAGCAGATCTTCAAGAGGTGTTGACAGAGGGTGAGAGAGTGGGGACTCTGCTGCCACTTCTTTTGCAGGACATGGCATTCCTCATGCTCTTGACCGGCTTTTGCGCAGGTGGGCAACAGATGTGGCCGATATTCAACCTCTTTCGAGCTCGACACTGGAAGCTCCAAAATTGAGACTTGCCCGGAGGTTCCCTACAGCACCAAGTTACAGTCACATGAAACAGCTAGATGTTGCAATGGTAATGACTAGTGTTGATATTTGTTAGTAACAACCATAGTCATTTGAATTGCACTAAATTACAGTAGTATAGCCATATATTTGGTAGTATATAATTATAAATCATAAAACATAATGAGTATTAATGAGTAATATAATAGCTATTGTTGATATTTGGCAGTTATAGTGGGTCATCGGTTATTGTTCCCCGTATTGCTGCTTTCTTCAGCTATAGCTGGGGGACCTGACCAGGTATTGCCCTGGGTGCGTACCAGGAGGGGAAACTCTTGGAATGTGAGGCTTAAGATACGGTCGGAAAATATCCCCTGGAGCAGATAGAATATGGGATGTTCAAAGATATTCCGATTTCCTGTTTTATAGTGAGTTTTTTTTTTTAAATGACATGTCCATATTCTACTTACTCCGGGATGACTTTTAAATATTTAACTTGGATGGATGGGAAGTAGCTGCAGCTTTCTGCAGCTTTCCGCACATCAGTAGCCTCCTGGAGTTCCACACTGGGAAAGTCACAGCCATCCCCTTGTGCCGAAGCCAGCGAAACCCATTTGTGTCGGTGGCAGGACAAACATCTGAAGCCAGTCTATGACACCGTCTTTTCCAAGTCGGCCACCCTGTGGCAGGACTGGGACGACTTGTGAAACTTCGCAAGCAATCGCCAGATCTGAGGTTTTTTATGTCATGTGTTTTTTTGACACATAATGATATACCACACCTGATTTTATATTATTGAGACAAGCCTTCCGTGAGTTTTTTTTGGTAAGGGTGATTTGAAATGAATGCGTTTGCGTAGGCACACGTGGTTTTCCGTTTATCGGAAATTCACTTGGCCTCAAGTGGCGAAGAACTGAAACAAGTGCCTATGCCTAGTTCTTATGTGAAAATACCCATAGTGGAGCAGTGACTATCTCAACTCATCGACTCCCAGCTACCCAATTGTGACACATGGGGTTGTCCCAATGGGTTATCAGTCAGCAACTAGATAGTTCTCCCCATCGCTATTCCATTGATCTCTGGTTTTTGTTGGTCACCCTGATACCCCCCATTTGCAACAAAAGGTCCCCATGTTTGTTTCCTAGCACAATAGTAACCCATGTGAGTTGGAATGCTGAGGGACTCAGCCTCTAGGACAAAGTGTTGGCCGGATTGCAGAAGCCCGCGGAAAGTTGAGGTGTGCGGTGGGATGTTGGATGATTTGGAGAGGGCCCAAGGTCAAGTCCGACAAGACCGATGGATTTTCCACACAATGGTAATATCTGCGATATCGATATCTCAGCAACAAGCTGGGACTTAAATTGGCCAACAAAACCTCGGCTTTTTGCATCACCCACCATCGTCACATAGAAACCAACCGAAATAGGTGACTGGTTGTGCGAGTCCCAACGTGATTAGCATGGCCGATGTGGCTTGACCACCCCAGTGGCTGATGTACCCGCGGAAAACCGCCATTCGGCAGGACGACCCGGGGCAGAGCCAGTGAGCGTCAATCGGCTTGGTAGTTTTCAGCTTGATAAGAGAAGCTGAATTCATTCGAGCTGAGGTAGTATATGGCGTTTGTGTGGCTGTATGACTTGCTTTGCTCTTCCGAAAGAGCCCGGCTCCCCCGCAGTTGAACTTCTTTGACAATTCTATCGGTTTTTGTGGTGGTTGATGGTTGGATCACAGCATCACAGTGTAGTTCAGGTTACCTTGGGGGGCCTGTGTCGCACAAGTGCAGGCGACGATGTGGTTTCAGAGACCAACGCACAGGAGTTGGTTGATGCAGATGGAAAGCTGCGAGTTGCCATCGTCAGGTTGCCGCGTGATTGATGGAGACTTCCAGATAAGAGACAACTATTCTATGACTAAAAGTTTAAAGGCATACCCGCCAGGAGTTTGTTAAAATGGGGCACAAGCAAAAGCCATTTTGAAGCAGGAACACATTTTGCCAAATCCAGTCTTTGGGTCCGGTCAGTGGTTTTCATGCACAAAGGCACTACATGCAGGGAGAGGAACACAACATTGTACCCCAAAAAGACACACATTTTGATACACTCTGTATGTACTGTCTACTTAAGGGCATCATGCCTTCGAATCACTCGCAAGCTTGAAAGACTCCAGCCGTTGCACTCTGGAAATCAAAGATAGCAAGCGGCCTTCTCTACATCTCAAGGGAATATCACTCTGAGTCCGAGGAGGGTCTTTCATGTCTGCCACGTTTGATTGCTGTTCAATCTTGGTGGCTCCTGTCACCAGTGTTTTGGGCTAGGGCCAGGGAACCTGCAGCCATTTGGTCTCCACCAAGTGGAGCCCCCTCAGCCCCGCGTCGCGGGCGCTTTCGAAAGCAGAGAACCCCAACGGGCCGTCGCCTGGTCAGCGGGAGGCGAGCGGTTTTTGGGACGGCTTGGCACATTCGAAAAGCCACTGAAACGCCACGTGTATTTTGAAAACTGGGTTGCCCTTTAAAAGTGGATTTGACTTGTCGAACTTTGGATTTCAGGGATGGAAATGGAGACAAAACCCTGAGTTGCACTGATTCCGACCCGACTGGATTTTGTCCCAAAGTTTCGGAGATAGACAGGTTTTTCGATCACCTGGTCATGGCCAGTCGTGTCCCAATTCCTTAGCTGAAAAACCCAGATGTTTGATTGCTTCACTCCGAACTCTTGGTGAAATTGCTTGAATCTCCGCCCAAAAATTGCTGCTGGGCTATCCTCATATTTTTGCGGGTAAAAAACAATGAATGACCGAAAATTTTGGGCTTCACCAGAGATTTCCAACCCTTTCCCTGGATTTTAGTTTTTTCATAGGCGGCCATGACGAACCCCTCGGGCCTAGCGCCGCAAGCGGTTGGCGAGCCCAGATCTGAAGAAACCGTACGGGAAATCTGGGGAAGATACCTCGTAGCATCAAAAAAAAAGAAGTCAGTAAGATCCCTCCTAAAGTAGTGGACAGTGACTTTTTTGATTTCTCTTGTACAGGGGTTCCTGTACATGGAGTAACTATTGATAACTACATGTCAGTGCCCATCGCAGTGGCACGAAAAGTGGAAGATTCGCCGGCAGCAGTTCCCTGATCCAGGTATGTGGGGGTTTCCTGAAATGGGGGTACCCCAAAATGGATGGTTTAGAATGGAACATCCTATTAAAATGGATGATTTCGTGGTACACCTATTTTAGGAAACCTCCATGCAGCATCCACGGGATCTTTTGGGTATTTCAACTTGGTCCCATATTTTTTGGGTGAACTGCAGTATTTTGGTCATCAACACGTGAGAATGCACGGATAACCAGAAGTGCCATTTATCAAGATGATCTGCGGAGAAGCCTGTTGGCTTCGACGACCCCATGTTTTTTGAATGAGCATGACCTACACTTGGAAAGGAGCATTTCATTTTTTTTTGCCTGACAGAATCATGTATAAATTGTATAAATGTCTATAAATGTCGGGACTCGCCATCTGCTCCGCCCTGAGATCTGCGTCAACACCGTAGCCCCGTTCCGGAACTGAGAGGGGGGAGCTGGAGGAAGTGCCTGAACGATATATGGAAATCAAGGGGCTTTCGGAAAATGATCAACGCATGGTGGGTATTCCATGACCATTGGTGGAGCTGGAGTGTCAGCCCCGACTCGAGGTTGTTTCCGCGGGGTAAGGACCACCAGTCCACGGTCCGGACCCAAAAACGGAGTGGCTGGAGGGTCTGGGAATCTCTCTGTGGTCAGGAAGATACTTTTTGGATCCAAATCCAGCACATTTTTTTTGTCTGGATCCTCACGTGTTGCTGTTGAAACCCATCTTTTTGGGGATTTCATCAGCAACCATTCCATGTTCACTTCCAATTTTCAGATTTACAAAAACCAATAAAGCCGAATAATTCAATACAAAGTTGGATTACATACCCATATTGAGAGATGGTCATCAATCAATTTTCAACGGGATTTATATACCCATTATAAATAAACAATTATAACCATAACCATTCCCATTATGCATGGGATGAATGGCCATACCAATATTGTCCGTTCAGGAAAAATAGAGGGGCCGGTCTGGCATATGGACATCCACCATACCTCATTCATCCCCTGTACCTCGACCATGGCCTTCCTTTAAAACCAGGTTCAACTGCTAAAAACCAAAGAAACACCAGGTAAAACCAGAGAAGACCCACATGAACCCCATATAAAAAGCCACATAAAACCCACTGAAAGCCCACCTCAAAGCCTGCTTCAACAGCCCAGATCCATGGCATCGTCGGCAGGCTGGTGAGTGGCATGATCACCGGGGAGGAAGTCGAGTGGTGCGGGATATCCAGGCGGGATCAGCGGGTAGCGAAACTGGGAATCCTTGGAACCTTTTGGGACGGTGATGATGGTGACATATGAAAAAGCCATGGGAAAATGGTGATTTCATAGGAAAACCATAGGAAAACCCGACCAGAACATCATTCTCAACAAAGATAAGGAACAACAAATGATGATTAATGATTACACCATCATCATGATGTTGAACATGATGATCATTGCCATTTTGATATTGTTTATGACACATTAAATGCCTTGAAATTATGGTTGATATCATTGTAAGATTGATGATCTATTGACATAATCATGGTCATCAATATTACAATATATTATTAATGGTCAAGAAGCATTACCATGATATCATCAATATAATCAATGTTACCATCAATGGTACGTAATGCTTCTTATTATGGTCATTGCTGTTGCTATTCACCCCGCTTCGCGTGGGGTGGCCGCCCACACCGCAAGTTTATTTCGGTCCGTGAGAGGGGCTAAGGGTGGTTTTCCCCCGTGGGGGCTCCCCAAGCTAAGAATTTTCACTTTCCCCCCCCGTGGGGGCTCCCCAAGCTAGGGAATTTTCACTTTTCCCCCCCCGTGGGGGCTCCCCAAGCTAGGGAATTTTCACTTTTCCCCCCCGTGGGGGCTCCCCAAGCTAGGGAATTTTCACTTTCCCCCCCCGTGGGGGCTTCCCAAGCTAGGGAATTTTCACTTTTCCCCGCCGTGACAGCTTCCCAAGCTATGGAATTTTAACTTTTCCCTCCCTTGGAGGCTCTCCAAGCTGCGGAATTTCAAATAGCTAGACAACGACGCCTAGATAGTCCCCCAAATCCCGTGTTCTTTGAATGTGTTTCCATGTTTGCAATGGTTTCCTTCAAAGCACGGTACTTTACACTTTTGTCGCCATAAAACCGGTCGAAAACATCATGTTCGACAATGCTTCCAATTCCCTTATCTCCCCCAACCGTTGAAAATACCGCTATTTACAGTGTTTTCTTCAATTTTTCCATGTGCCAATGCCGGTAGCCAACTCCAACATATATATATATATATATTTATATATAAGAAATCCTTCCAAAACATTGTTTTTGACAGTGTTTTTCCAATGTTTCCAGTCAAACAGACGGTAATTTGCACGTTTTTTGCCATAAAGGCAGTAAATCCTTCCAAAACATTGCTTTTGACAGTGTTTTTGTAATGTTTCCAGTCAAGCATACGGTAATTTACACGTTTTTTGCTATAACGTCAGTCCAAAACACTTGTTTTTGCAGTGTTTGCAATGCTCTGGCATCCAAAAACCTTGCAAAATCTTGCTATGTACAATGTTTTTTTTCATTTTTGGCCGTTTTTCCATTGCCGGAAAGCTACCAAAATGACCCAAAATTCCATTTCAATACCCTCTTGCGCTCAGACACCCAAAAATCCTCGAAAAATGTCGAAAACACCACCGTATTCTGGTCTCGGTGCGAAACCGTTTTTGCCCCCCCCAGCTAAAGCTGATATAGCGACTGCTATATTAACAAATGTCATTGAGCATTTAGTGTTGCTGTTGCCCCCCAATAAGCACGCCTTCACCGCCAAAGCGGTGTGGGCGGATTTCTACTTCGTATGGATTCTTCTCGATTCGCCATTTGTGAATAACAGTCGCAGCTGAAGTAGTCAATGTGGGTAACAGTTTTCAGTGGTACACATGGCTAACATACATGTGGCATAGGAATGCATAGGATAAAGCCTGCAAGCTCTGATAATCCACCCAGATGAAGTATTTGAATATCAATGAGGTTTGGAGATGTTTTATTTTTGGTTCGACGGGGACTTTTGGATATGGTTCCACCTATGGCCCACAGGTCTATCCCCGACATATCCGGGAAACTGAGACGCATCAGCACCTTCACAGGCCGCAGTTGGACTTAAACGCTGCTGGGGAGAGATTCCCATGAAAAATACCGAAGTAACTAGTGAAAGAGATAAGTAAAATCTGAATATCTACCATAGTCACCCTAGTTAGCAGAGCTATTTTGGGTGGATCAAAACCTGTCAATACCATATTGAGGGTTATGAGCGTCCATACCTAGAAGCTATTTTGATGTGAACAGAAGGGCACTGTTGGGTTTTGATTCTCAGCCATATCACACTTGTCAATCCAGTGATTATCATGAATAATACAATGATGTGCCATGATCAGATAGAACTATGTTGGATGACTATTATCATAGTTGTATCCGATCTTGAATTTAATTGAATCCCTCTGATGAATTTGGATTGTGTTTAGGTTGTTTTGGTAGGATTCAGGAGTTTCAGGTGGAGGAGTTAAGGGTTTTCTCCTGATACTTAGCCTGGCGTCCTTGTGGGCAATGGACTGCCACACTGGTCTTGATCTCTATGCTGTGATCTGGACGGCCTCATACTGATGTGGTGAGTCCAATGATGATAGCCATGTTCAGGGACAAGGTGATGTTCCCTAATGAGCTAAGCGTTGTTTTTCTTTAACTGGATTAGTTGGGGTGTTGTTGTATGTAGATAGACATATACAGTGGTTTGTAAACCAGCAAGCATCAGCAGTGATGTTCGGAAAATCCTCCAAAAAAAGATCCGTTTGTAGATGATTTTCCTGTATATTCCATGGTTTATTTACTCCATGACTTTCCATGTTTTTCCATATGTTCCATGGTTTATCAACCAACATGGCGACGAAAACGGGCACCACCAGACATGCCAACATGATGGCCTGGCGGTCGTGGATCAGGACAGCTGCGGTGAAGCACTACCTGCGGCAGATGGCGGAGACTTGGCTGAGTCAAACGGGAAGTCCAAGACCCTAAAATGGAGGCTATGTAAGGGTCATGTAATAGTACACTACCTCCAAATATTAGGATATAAATATAAGTCTGATATATTCATAGATACATAGCTCCAAATGTTAGTAAATAGAGCTTCCATTACCCTCGATATTCGGATATACCCCCAATTCCTATGGCTTTATATGGTACAGGGAACCCTAACAAATCGCTGGGTTTCATAAACTTAAAACCCTATTTGGAACAGGAACAAATTGCTGGCTACCCTCAAAAAATCAGTGGCCATTTCGGGAAGCGATCAATTGGAGGTAAACACCAACCATAAGGTCTATGTAAGGGTTTTGTAGGGGCTATACCTCCAATTTCTATGGTTTTACAAGGTACAGTACAAACAGTTTGGGTACCTGAAATGGCAATTGACTACAGGTTCCCCAAATCAGTCAGTAAAAACCCATGAATTGAATTAGCATATTCATAATATTATCATTGTTATGTTTATGACATTACTATGACTCTAGTTATTAAATAAGTGTTTTGATATAATTTAACACATATCCATTCAGTAAACTTGCTGTAAGTGGTGGGTGGGAGAATAAGGGACGTACCCAAAGATGGGAATCGTTCCCTCTGACCATGGGCTTTTCTCCTGATAATTTGAGGACACATCTTGTGAAATCATGAAACAATTGTAGCATTTCCCCGTTGGACATGGACCGCAGCTACTCATCTGGCCCAACGGCGACCAAGTTTGGAAAGGGACCGTATTTGACCAGTCTTTTGCAAAAGAAGTTGGTTAAGACTGTGCCAACCCAAAAATTAGATTTCGCAGGTTTTTAATTGGATTTTGGGCTTTCTTAGAGTTGTTCTCTTATTTTTATTGTCTTTTTTTACTGTAGTGTTTCTTCGACTTGTCCCTTTTTTTTAAACCTGTAGCGTTTCTTCGAGTTGTTTTTCAAAGGGGACCGGAGGAAATCTCAAAGTTTGATGGGAAAAAAAACCCATGGGTTCTTGCAACATTTTGATGGTACAGATGGTGACATAACCATGGTGTGCTCTAGATTTTCCTTCGCCAACCACCTTCGCCAGGATCGGTCGGAGATGCTGAGCACCTACGAACATGACTTCGGTGCGGTGCCCCAGGGGACGCTTTCTGAACAATTGGGGGATGCCCAAGTCACCATGGGTTTCCAGTCACTAAGTCATGGTTTTTACCATCAACTAATTCATAGTATGGAAACCATGACTTAGTTGATGGTTAAACGGTTAAACCATACTATTCCATACTATTCATTTTACCATTCCCAAATCAGGAGTTTATTCAATGGGTTTGGGGGTTTGCTTGTCGACATCTAATGACTTGGATGAGAACTGGGGGTACCCCCAGGACTTTGGAAACCTCCATATAGACATAGCAGACATGCAACATGAAATAACAGCAGCGATACAAGAGTAACAAACATAGAGGATCTAACCAGCAAAAAGAGTGGTTGGATACAACAAAATGGAGAGATACAGCTGCGAACACAGACGGGATAACAATACCAACAAGCTGTAGAGATGTGGATGTCACCAGAAACAGATGGCATGATTTACGGAACCTGGGTACCAGACCAAAAAACAAACAAAGAAATACCGATGCCAAACAAACAAATACAGCGATTTCATGGTATTTTATGGTACTCTCTGGTGAGTTCACATCACTATGGAACATGACCCTTGCAACATATTCCAACAAATCAGCCATGCAAGAATTTTCCAGGGGGTATCGGTATATCTTATTTATGAAAAACTAGGAATCTTGTTCCAGCCAATGAAAATGATGGATATCCCATTAACATTCCACTATCAATGGATTGGTTGAAGGGAACATCTACAGGAAGCCATAGATTTTCCCATGAAATATGGAGCTTTCCTGTAAATTTTTCCCTTAATCCAATCCATTTACATTAACATCCCATTAACATCCCATGGAAATCAAACATGGCAATCAAAAATCCCAATGATTTTCCCATTACAACATCCCATGAACATCCGTTAATCCTCCAGGCGCAAAAAGGGCCAGCACCGAGGTTTCATGACGCGTCCCAAGCAGAGGGACTTTGCGGAGCCAAAGCGCACCAGGTTTTTTGATCTGACGGAGTTGGGGCTTTTCTTGGACGTGAGATTTTGCTGGATATGATAATATGATATAATATGACATGCTTGGTGTATTCTATCTTCAATCTACATCAATCTACATCAATCTACATCAATCTACATCAATCTACATGAATCTACATCAATCTACTATGTAGCTTGATTAAGCATGATGAAACTATTGGAACTCATTTGATTTGAAGAATCAAATAGCTGAAGAAGCTGGAGTCTAGCCACCGGGTGGATCTTCGCCCTGTCCAGGCAGACCAGCTCAGCACCACCCTCCCGCGCCGGCAGCGTGAGAAGTGCCAGAAGTGCCACCAGAACGTTTTCAGGACATGGGAAGCAAACAATCCCAATAGCCTCTGGTAAACTAACACAACTATGGAAAATCACCATTTTCAATGGGCAAATCCACTATTTCAATGGCCATTTTCAATAGCTATGTAACAAATTACCAGAGGGTAGCCTCCACTAAATTAACGTAGACCCTGAAGATGGTGAATTGTTTAGTAAACCCACCATTTATTGGTTTAATATTGGTTTATACCACCCAGAAATATGGATAATCTTCCAACCCAGTCTGCCAGTCTATGTTAATTTTGGGGGATGGTAAATCATCGAAGATTTACGGAGATGGGTTTGTCTGACAATGGGGAAAAGTCGTAGCCATAAAATAGCAGTTTCACTTGGGAAAGATGATGATAAAACCATCACAACTTGTTGAAAAAACCAATATGAAACTGTAGATGAATTTGGGAGTAGCCTATTCTCAGACAATAGTTATGTTTTTTCAAATCGCCAAATTTGGGAGTAGCCAACATTTTCAGACTTTCAGAATATGACTCATATGACTATGAGTCAATAGCTACCCTCTGGTAAACTAACATAGCTATGGAAAATCATTATTTTTAATGGGTAAATCCACTATTTCAATGGCCATTTTCAATAGCTTTTTGTATGTTTACCAGAGGGTAGCTCCCATTTTTGGGGACTGAATACCCAGGTACCATAGGACTGTTCTGAGGCTCACCACGGTACCTGGGGTTTGATCCCTTTTGCACCTGGAATCATGAAAAACAACAGGAAAAGAATCAGACATTCGGGATTGCATCAGCACCATGTTCACATATGTCATAATGATTTCCAGGTGCCATTATATATGAGATTTTCCTTGGCCATGCTACTTTTATAACCTGCAACTCGGTCCACGTACACAACTCGTTTGGTACGGCTCCGGTGGTCTTGTTCCGGCCAATCATCCTCCTGAAAGTGGGACATGGAACCCCAACAAGATGTCTTTTGGGCTAACCCGCCATAAACCATCCCCCAATTTTTTGGGGGTTCATGAGATTGGGGTATACCTGGTATAGCTCTATGAATGATGGTCACTGGGATGGTAACTATGGCAATCCCACATTGCTGCAGGAGACTACTACGCTGACTCGCAGGGCTCCCCAGCACAAAGATGGGTTCCCCAAGTCCCCACAGGTTTCAATACTAAAAATGGCCTATTGACTTGGATCTACTTGGATGGTTTGGGGGTGACTGCCATTTTTAGGAAGCCATCATTTGTCGATTGGTTCACCATGGCGACCATAGTCTTGCTTGGCTTTAAGAGCCCCTTTTGGGCTCTGATGTTTAAGGGATGTCTGCGAGGAAACTCATGCGGGGGTTCAGGACAATTGCCCCTTCCCAACCCAAATAAAGCAATCAGTCCAGGACAAAACATCACCCAACCATTAGGTATATGGTCTATAATGGCTACTATAAGGTGATGTCCAATATTCCCAAAATGGGACAGTTACCAACCCCTGAACATTGTTGGGTGAATATTCAGATGGATAAGAGTTGAAAGAGATCAAGCTTTGAGCTAGAAATGGTGAGTTATATGGACCTGATATAAGGACATAAACGACATGAGCGTCTTAAGATCGAATGTTGGAAACTTAGTTGATAACCGCATGACTTTTTTTTTCCTAAGTCTTAACATAGGGACCCATCACTTTTACCACGTTTGAGGGCCCTTTTTTTTCAATGATCGTTGGCTGAGGCAGTTCGTCACCACCTCTTCAAAGCTCCAGGCCGGGATAATCCTCATCCCATGTCTTGAACGAGAAAATCTGCAGAGCCATATTACCCTCTGGTAAATTAACAGTTGGACCCTGAGAATCACCCATTTTTAATGGAAATCTTCCAAGCCCGACAACTGCCAGGGTCTATGTTACTAAGATTTACTGGAGGGTAATGTCAGGGTTAAAGACCCTGAAATTTTCCTGTGGATTTTTCCTCTGGATTTTCCCAATCCATGACCTCCCAGTCCACCGGTGACCTCCCACCAGGGCTTTCAAGAGAGTGGCTCCCCCCTGCGCTTGACGGTCACCGGATGGGGTGATTGCCGATGGAGCCCTGCTACGGTGCGCGATCCGGAGATATGGTGGGAGGGCAATGAATTGGGGCCTAGTTTGAAGCATAAACCCCAAAAAACTCCGATTTGTTTGAGAAGAAACACCAAAAAAAACTGTGAACTTGGCTAGGTTTCATTTTTTCTTGACCACATCATTTTCTGTCTTGGAATCACGCCACACACCTCACCAACTCGTCGCCGGCCGAACGCGCCGCCTGCCAGCACCCGCACATGGTGATGGGCATGACGCAGAAGGGCATCAGCATCAAACAGACGACCAACCTGATGAAGTTAAGGTGCCATGGTGCCGCACATGAGCAGTTGGAGTGCCATCAGGGCTGGCCTGCCAACAGCGATGTTTCTGTATCAGCTGTGGGCCAAACTGACTGACCACCATAATGACCAGATATTTGGGCCAATTTTACTATTCAACTCTCCAATTTCGAAGTAAGTTTTGACCTGTACCCAAGTTCCAGCTGCCAAAGATGGCACCAGAAATGATCGTGGGTTTGGCTTCCTGCCACTAGTCACTAGTCGGCTGGGGGATGAAAAACATGTACGTTTCGGCTGGGCCAAGATATCCAAGATATTCCAAGATCCAATGGGAACCACAGCTGTGGAGTAGTGAACTTTGCCCATCCTATGTTTTCAGAGATGAATTCGAAGCCCCACTGGAAATCAACAACCGGTGGTGGCCCCCCTGTTCAGCGTCCAACGAAACCACCACTTCACCAGGAAGTGAAATGCCCAGTGCCGCATTGGTACGCATGGTACGCATTGGCTTGAGATTTACTGCGAACGATGCTTGAAGTGACTGTAGTCCTAGTGGTCGCAGTGAGAGCTTTTCCATTTCAGAGTCCTCCAAAGTAGGGGACTTGAAGACGCCCAGAAGTCCTTTGGACAATACTTCTCATGGCTTGTCACTGCAGACGCATCCTGAGTGATCCTGTGCTGTGGAGATAATGTGGTTCATACATGGGGCGATCCACGTCATGGTGGTGACGGCTCAGTGGTCCGAGACCAGCTGAGGAACGTGCAGCAGGTTCAGGCCACACATCAAGCCCTGCAATCCTGGAAGATGGCTCTGTTGTGACATGGGGCAATCCGAACTGCGGTGGTGACACCTCAGTTGCAGCAGCTCAACTTGATGTAGGATCAGGCCAGACTGGCGGTCAGACTTGAAGAGACTACATGGCCGAAAGCGTGAAAGTGGCGGATGCCAGTCTGAACCTCCAAGGTACCACTGGTCTCATCACTGTACAGCCAGGATTGCTGGCAGAACCATCAGGTTTTTGCTGGCTGAGTCACCATTTTTCTTGGAAGTCCAAACTTTTCTCGCTTAAACCATCTCAAAGAATCCCCGGTTTTGGTTGAACCTTGCTTGTCAGTGGTTGGAAACCATCTCAAAACCACCAAAAATTCTGGTTGAAGTTGAAATCTCTTTTCTCATTAAACCCCCCCTCCCCTGTTTTGTGGCACTTCACCATGCTTTTAGGGAGCACAGCCCGGTCCTTCGCAGGTCTCCCGACCTGCCCTTTGTCTCTCGATGAGGTCCGACGAAGATATGGGATTATGGGACGAAAATGGGAATCCTCATAACATATATCAATATAATCATAGTTAGTAAGGGGAATCATCCCCAAGATAGCCCAACATTTCAGGTGAGTGAATTATTATAAATTAATTTATTTGCCCAGATATATCAAATAGCAGTTTTGATCTGTTCTAAGCCAATTTGGGGTAGCCCATTTTCAAACAAGGCCATAGGATATTTAACAATATAATCTGGATAGTAGAGCCACCATAATGGGCTTATAATGATAATAGAATGGGAATGATTATAATGGGAAATACTGTAGAAGCAATTATTTCTGGCAGCAGGATCAGTCTTAAAATTAGGATTTTTACATCCAATTTCTGGTGATTTTGTCCAAGAATCTGGAGGTTTTCACCCCTGAAAAATGGGGGATTTAGTGCTGGGTGGCTCACTGAACACCCCATTTTGGCCCATATGCATTGGAACTACTGTGGTCACCGTGGTAAACCCAGTCATAATCTCTTTTTCTTGGTGGCTGGGGAAACTGATGATTCACATCAAGACATCAGTTTTTGAGGGCCGTAAATTCTGAATCCAACGCGTTGAAAGAGGCCACAAATCACCAACAGTCATCAGCAGTCCGCAGTCGCTCAACATTTCTGTAGATGCAAATCCCAGACTTCCAAATTGAGTTTTCCATTCGCCAGAAATCAACGACGCCGTTGCACAGGGTCAACTGAAAACCAGCGACCAGTGCTGAATCGAAACGTCCGCGACCAGATTTTTGTGGCATTGGACCGGTTGAGTCCGTGGGAGTGCAAAGCTCAACAGAAGGACCGCAAGCCGCAACGGTTTCCACCAGGGATCAAGTTGGGCACAACTGTGGAAAGAACTACAGTGTGGCAGCCCCACCAGAAAGTTTGCCTTCAGGATGTTATAGATGATAGAGATAGATTCATGATATCTATTTACTTCATATTCCCAGGGTTCCTACTTTTCGAAGGATTTTGCCGTTGTTATGGTATAGATAGGACTCGAAAATGTTCGAAGCCACGGTCGCAACTGGATGCCTCCAATGCCACTTGGGAGGCCCATCCTCCAAGAGGGTCGGGCCGGCGCCCGGACTTAGTGATATCTCGCCTGGTGTGTGAAGAAAATGAGACGTATCCAACCCTCCAGAAATATCCAGAAATATCCAGAAATCAAAGATGGTTGGAAAGTAGCCCAAGAATATCGATGGATGATTTTTCCATGAAACACGGATGGATTCTAGCCATGTTTGTTTGCTTCACTGTTGGATGTGTGGATCTAAGTCCCATAAAAATCACACCCGAAAACTGTCGGCCCCCCGAATGGGCAGCCGCGGTTGTGAATGGTGTCTGGGATGATGAAACAAACTATTGACCCCCCAAAATGTATGACATCCGTGGCTGAAACGACCGGAAACGGAAACCAAATGCCCTGACAGCCCAGTGGATTTCGTCATGACAACCTGCAAACAGCGACTTGGAAGTACACAAACTTCTGGTTTAATGCCCTGACTTCCTTCTGAAACCGCTCGGAGTGAAGTCGAAGAAAAAAGTTGCGCTATTGGACGCTGTATTGTTGGACCTTGATGTCATCTCCAGCACCGGCTTAGGATTAACAAGGGGGATCCATGAACCCCAATTATTTTAAAAGATTGGGTAAACAGAAGGGCAAGAGGGTTGTGATACATAACCAAGTGAACATCTCAAGTCTCATGAAATCAAGCGTTCTTTTTTGGCCCAGTGGTTTGTTCAACCTTTCTGGAAGAGAGGAATCGATACCAGTTCGCTGCACTTCTTGCTGGGTCATTCATTTTCCAACCACCCAATTTTCGGCCACCGGCCACCTGCTGTTGGCTTCAGCATAGCGTGGTGTTTTTTGCACCGCTGCCGCCATGGGGTGTCTGGGCAGGGAACATTGTGAGAGCTCCAGAATCCCCATCCAAAGATGGAGGTTTGAGAAGGAAAATCAACTATATATACGTATATATATAATGTATATATATATATATAATATATATAATGTATATATATATATAGAATGTATATATATAATGTATATAAAAAAAATATATATAATATATAATATATATAAAATGTATATATATATATAATGTATATATATAATGTATATAATATATAATATATATAAAATGTATATATATATAATGTATATATATAATGTATATAATATAATTATATATATAAATATTATTAATGGAGGATGTCCCAGCTAGCCATGTTTGAGTACCAGAAGGTATATCATGATATATCGAAGGATTTGCAATAGATTATGGGTTGTAATGGATTAACCCACCATTTTATAAACGCGGATCAATCTCCAGCAACCCCAAATCAATTGCACTTGCCGTGCGTATTTTTCTAAGAATTCTTTTTTTGAGCCTTCAAAAAGGCAAGGCAGATTTTTGCAGGGTTTGCTCATATGCACCACAATCTTCTGGTGGAGGCAGAAAGCATGGCTGCTGTGGTATATCTTTGGTGTCCAGTGCAACTTTGGGGAGTGGATTTCTGGGTGGCTTGAAGCCGCCAAGACGGAGATTTGCATTTCTTTCGGACTTGAAACGTCGTTGATTGCAGGGTCCTGGAAGGTATTGAATGCTGGCAGCGGGAGCAAACGAGGAAGGAAAGCGGAACGTCGCGGAAACACTGCTGTTATCCACCATATTCTTAGAGGGAAGAATATGCACCTGCTGATGCACGATTTCTGCCAAGTTGAAGATTTACAGGCAGGTTTTCTGCCAAGACCATCTTGGCAACAGGGCCCCATGAGTCCATTCCATGATGCACTGAATTTCTTGGAACTGAGGAACCAACATGGAGTTGGGTGCAACTTCTGTACTGGAGTTGATGGCAATGCTATTGAGGCCTGGTCTCATAAGTTGCCGCCGTTGCCAAGAAGGTAACCCGTCGTTGAATTTCATCTACCCGAACCATTTGGGCGTCTGAAAAATGGGGGAACCCATGGGAACCCCATTTCAATTGGCAAATTGGGAAGATGGAAGATGATCAAACTGTGTATTCCACCCGTTTCACCATGGTTTTCCCCCAAAAATCAGCATTTATCACCTGCAGGGCACCTTGAATAAGGAGGGCAACCGAGAGAAGCGAGGGCCGCATCGGTGCGGTTCCAAAGATTTGACAGAAACCTGCCCTTGGAAGACCTCGTTTCTTTGGAAACCTTTGGGAATTTGAGACGACAGATGGAACATTCCAGCGTCATCTCAGATTTCCCGGAGGGTTCGCATCGATGGCCACAGGAATAGAACATTTTTTTCCTTGGAGGCCCAGTTGAGATAAAGATCCCATAAGGATGCGAGTAGATGAGTGGAAATATGTAGTCAAACTTGGAAGAGAAGATATGCTTTTTAAATCTTGATGATTGGTGTTCCAGTAGCTCCTTGGCTGTTGGGGATACCACATGATACCACCCGTGCTTTGTTTATATGCTAAGATACCAACATATGCCATTCAAAAGTGGTTCCCTGAGTGGTACGCACCCTGCTCCCGTCTTGACCCATCCCTGTGGCAAAAGATGGTGGCCAAGGTTCGAGAATGGCGCCACGTATACCGGAGAATGGGTAGGCCAGGTCCTCAGGTGGTCCATATTCAGTGGTGAGTGCAACAAGTGGTCGCAGCGTGGTGCACCTGATAGATTGACTCGCAGGGATCATGGAAAGGCTGGAAAGGTGGGTTCCAAACAGGTTGTACTACCCTCTGGTAAACTGTCCCATAACTATGGAAAATCACCATTTTTCACGGGAAAACTCACTATAAATGGTGATTTTCCATAGTTATGTTGGGTTTAC